TTACACTGGATATGGAGTGGGTGGTAGAGCTGTGGGTGGTGCAGCGCAAGCTACCCATGGTCGTTCTGTAGGCGCAGGCGTCCTGTGACTGGCCACAGTGACAGGCAAATCCGAAACTGGATGCCGCCAAGCAATATCCGTCCGGCCGATTCATGAAGCTCTACTTGAAAATGTGGCTTAAATCAAGTAAGGAAAACTTCTGGCCACCTGAGAGTTGCGTCAAAGTTATCTATCCGCGGAATATGGTAGTGATCTGAGGTCGCCGTCTGGTCAACAGTCAGCTTATAGTCACCACAGAAACGGAAGGTACCATCGGGTTTTTGTGTTGGAAGAGTTGGCGTGGCCCAAGCTGAGTGACGTACAGGCAATAATATTCCATCTTTTTGGAGGCGCTCCAGCTCTAACTCAACTTTTGGACGGGTGGCAAAAGGTATGCTCCATACCTTGAAAAATCTCGGCTGGGATTTCGGTCTGATACTGAAAGAAGCTTAAAAATCATGTAGTTTACTTGGTAACGTTTCATCAACACACAATAGTTCATTCCCAACAATGAACGAATGTCTGAAATATGGTCCACTTGTTGACGGTTTGAAGTAGTTCTGGCACATGTTTGAGTCAATTTCTACCATGAAAGCTCAGGCCATCAGTTAACAAGAATTAAGAGATGGACAAAAAGGTTGGCCCCATGAGTAACTCTTAATTCACGCATACCAAGTACATAGAGTGATCCACCAGTGTAAAAACGTAAAGTAGACTGTGTCGGGACCGGCGGCAGGTCGGGCAGTACACGAGTGTTGACCAATGTAACTGAGGTCCTCGTACCGATTTCTAGGCGCACAGGTTGGCTTTCAATGGTACGTGAAATCGACTAAAACGTGGACTCATCGGAATCTTCTACAGCCCGGAAAATATTTGCTGGAGGGTGGGTTAAGGGATGTGAAAGCACTGTTTAGCGGCCAACACACACAAGACGTTTGCCACACCTGTGGTCAGTAGATTGTTTGTGTCTACAATCAGATACCCTTTCATGTTTCACGCCAGTTGTAACACATAAAGGAGCGTTTGTTTTTCGGTGACAATGGAAGTTTGCCCGCATGGATTGCAACTGCGAGGTAATCATGTTGGTAGTAAAATAACTGTTGAACCACATCTCCTTACCTCACTAACATGCATGCGGGTTCCCAAGTAAGCTTACTCTTATCTTCCAACAGGCGTTCTCGGGCCATGTTGTTGCGAATGCCAAGCAGAAGACAGTGGATAACCAGGACCTATTCGTGGACGGAATCTTATAACAGCAATCAGAGTGGGACTTGTATGCAGGTTATAATGAGTTCCATCGTAGTTGGAAAAAATTTAGTTGTGCAGTAAAAAGATGTTGCTATAAGTCCCAAATATCATCCAGAGATATCAGGCAATATGACAGAGAAGTGTTTTCATACAACCGTAGTGCATCGAAATGTCTCTGATTCTCTGCATCCAGACATCACAATAGTTAAACAGACTGATGCTAAGTAATAGAGACACGCGGATTTGCAATTCTGAGTTCAAAATAGTCACATAATGTTCTTTACCATCCAGTTCAAACTGCAAGAGATAGTTAGGAAACCGTTTCTTTATAAAACGGATCAGTTGGAGTAATGTGAGTCATAAAGAACAACTCCAGGTATAGACTCCGTCGCACGAAGAGAAAATCATGATTGAATTTACTGCATTTTACTACCTAATTAGCTGACCACTTCGAAGCTCTACATTCTTATGAGATGTAATGATAGGTAATAAAGACTTAAGTAAAAGGTCGACGAAGGTTCGAAGAACGTGTGAAAAGCAATGCATATGATACATGTACAAAAAATGCATTGTGATGTTGTAGGGTTAGTAATCAAGTGCCGACTGGTGTAATTTAGCACAATTCCTATGTGAATGACCAGATAAAAATATTTCATAATAGTACAGTGGTAACAAGTCTCTTATTCATGCAAGTAGGCTAACCAAGCTACGAAGGTGCACGCTATTTGACCAAGAAAGGTTCACGTGCGATTTCTATTGACAACGATGGAATGAAAGTACGTGACTTAAAAATAGCTGCATTAGCTTCTGTAGCGAGTAGAGAACATTAGGTGATAGAAATATCCAGATAAACGAACTCAGCGACAGTAGCGAAGTGCGCGTCTCGGCAGGCGGCCAGTTCATAAACGCTTCAAAAGGATGGAGTCGAAGAGAAAAGCATATCACTCGCATAATCTCAGCCAAGTTCAGTAGTTTTGCTGGTAAATATCCATGCACATATTGGAAATAATTATAGTGGATCTAAGCTACTGAGTTAAACCTCCACCACGATGGTCGAATGCGCATTCAGTTTTTGGTAATGTGTGGTCTGATAAACCTATTGCAGTGTCCGTCGGGTGACAAGCACGTTTCGATGAATGCAAGCATGTCAGGTTGACAGTGGTCCAGTAGGTCGCCGAACTCGTATATTTTGTTTCGCAAGCTACACACGTTAGAGAAATACCTGTAGGTTACCGATATAGTGAGCCCGGGATCGCGGGTCACCATAATGGGTACTAGCAGGGTGGAGAATTCGGTTCACTTCCACATCGACGTATTGCTACCATCTAACTGCGTCCTTTCCAATACAACCTATGGGTTCACCTTACCCGGATTTTTTTGTGGGACCGTTATTATCTTGCGCTGGGAAGTGACCCCTCCCAACCGCATAGTCGGGCAGCAGCAGTACGACGGTATTCAGTACCGACGGTTCGCTGCCGCGCAATCACCGTCGGCCGTATGTGGACAAAGGATACTGCGAGGGTAGTCCGGACCCTACGCAGGCTCGAACCCGCGCCCTCAGATTACAAGGCACGCTTGCCATCATTAAGGTCACGAGCAGTCGGGTCTGCAGCGGAGGAAATGTCCTGTCAACCTTTATCTAGACCAGCCAGCTTTGTTGCATTCCGAAGATTCCGCCTTTCGATGGTGTATTCCAGTCAACGCACAAATAGTAGAGAATAAATAACAAGCAAGCTTTGACCCGCGAACTTTGCTATATACTACAATTTTGAAGCCCGTGTTTAAGCGCACCTGTTACTCATCGCACCCATCTGCGCTTATTCTCTACCTGACAATTTTATGGAAGGCTTCTATCCGTCAGTCTTCCAGAGGAGTGCCCTTGTAGTGCACCTGAGAACATGCTCTTGCAGTATTTTACTACACTATGTTATTGCTATGTAGAACTTCTAAAGGTCTATTTGTGTTACCGACCGTACATCCGCCGACACATTCTGCAATGATGAGTCCTGTGCTACCCATTCCATGCTCTTGCAGATTCGCTTCCCATCCCTTGTACAATCTACATTGTGTCCACCTGCCTCAAGCGTTCCTAACGTCCCACAGTTGGCACTCCTTTACGTGTAACTACTACCGGTTAGTGTCCTAGAGGCAAAAAACTAGCGACGGGAAACTTGCTTTGTTAGCCGATACAAGAAACACAACACCCGTCATGGCTATAGCTCATCTGTCGGGCGCTATATGCCAAGTAGGAAGATGGAACGGTCAACTAAGTGTGCAAAAGAAAATATAGATAAGCTAGACAAAGGTTTTAAAAGGTTGCTATGACCTAAAGCTAAAACTAAGGCACTAATAGAACAAGCTAAGAAAGATGTGATAAGGTGCTGAGTAAGAACATTTATTTAATGGGAATAAAAGCTCGAGCTTTACACGACCCATAGGGTAAAAAGAGCGGGTCGGGTCTGATGAAAGGCTGAGCAACCTTATGGCGAGTTGGACTCGTTTGTTAGCCGTATCTTCATTGGGCTTATGCGGCATTTAAACATAATGCACGTCAACTCAAAACGTGAGATCCTATCACGAACTCCGAAACGGCTACGGAAAGGAATTAGGTAGAAAAAAGGAACTCTATCAAGTAGAAGGTAGTTACATCAGGGAATATCGCGGTGTAGCTAGGCCAGACGACAGTCCGGATGGGTCTTAAAATCCGCCACAGTGGTTGCTAAGATTAAATCGGCAGGCAGAGCACTACACGGTCGGCAAATTCGCAAAGCGAAGTAGTGTGGTCTGCAGTTCAGCCGATTGGGCTGATGTGAGCTTCAGTGGGTGGCTACGTGGGTGGGAGCGCGACTGGTGAAATGTGAGTAGGTGGCGACAAGATGTCCTGGGTTGGATAAGATCATAAATACAAGGATCAGGTCGCCCCGTAGACGTCGGTGCTTAAGCGAGTAGAGAGCCAGATAGTGAAGTCTTTGTGGATAAATAGATGCTTGAGAGCTCGGACTAGTTTCGTTGCTCGACGTTGTGAGGCTTCGAGTATACGTTGGTCCTTCAACAAGCAGGGGCTCCAAGCCTGAATAGCAAACTCCAAAGGAGGTCGAAGAAAAGCGCTGATGAGGCGGAAATTGCTAGTCAATTTGACCGAAGGCCCGTTTTAGCAATCCCACCATCCGGTTAGCAGCAGCAGCTGCTTTCTGGCAGGAACCGGATACAGAAAGACTCGTCTGGGTAATGATACCCAAGCCTCTTTCGGCTGAAGAGCTCTGGAGGATAGACGATCCCAGGCAATATATAGGAGAAAAATCGGAAGGGCAGGTAGAAAGGTCGCGACGTTTCGAAGCGTTAAATAGAAAGCTATTTTCTATGGACCACTGATGTAGACGGTCGATGTCCATCTGATGTGCGTGGTCACCGTCCGGGTTAATGGTGTGCCATGATTCCAGCTCCGAAGGCGTCAGCGAACCGTCTACTTCCAAAATACATAAGAAAACAATGATTTCACAATATTTCAGGTTGAATTAAACAAGCAAGCACGCGAAATCACCAGGTTACTAAATGCTTAAATGATTTCGTTCTCGGAACCTGAACTGTTTTAACATGGAGGGCCGATATTGGTATTTGCCACATCCGACTCGGATGGCTACAGGGCGTAAATTAGGAGTTAAACATAACAGTAGAAAATGCTAACCAGTAGGGTCCGCATATACCATTCTTACCTCTCCGGAATAAAGATGAAGAAACCCTCGTATGTGGTTTTCCTTGTACATATTCCCCGCTGCAGTCTCCATCCTTCTAATACGTTGCATCATAGTCAAAATCTGTAATGCATCATCACGAGAACAGGCCGTTTGGCTCGGCAAAGCTGAATCTAGTCTGTATGTTTTGTACTCTTCTAGATTAAGATTCGCGCTAGACGCAGTAGACTGCAGTCTAACTAATGTATTACGAACCACAGAAGTCCCTCCTTTTAGTCCCTGAAAGAAGATATAAAACAAAAAAGAAGACGTACGACAAAGCGACACAAGGAAAAAGCCATCTATGGCTCGGTTAACGACAGATACTAGACGGAGCGTCGGATCTGCCAACGGCGATCAATTCGTTAACAGTGAGAATGCGGTACACAACCTTACTAGTTGATGAATTAAAATATTGGGCTTTTGGATGCATGAGTACATTTATCATTCTGTTGAAGTTGTTGTTAGTATGCAACTGCTTGAATTATAAATCAGTGCACTAAACGCTTTAAATGTCAGGTCAGGTCAAAATCCGTGGACGATACAGGCTTCCGCCTAACGAGCGTCCAGCTTCTTGTACCGGTAAGCGAACCAGAGCCCCCGATACTTCGACTTTTGATCGCCTCTCCTTGCCTCTGCAAAAAGAAATGAAGCAAAAGCGAGAGCAATCTTTGCTTTTACAAGAATCAACATCGGATAACAATGCGAATAAATTGGATAGGATTATATTAATTCCGGAAAAATACGCGGCCAGCACCTGTCTAGGCCTGCTTTGAAGGCAACCACAGTCTCACAATCCATTAGTTCCGAAGGCAACTTATTCCAGTTGCGCACTACACGATTTGAGAAGAACTTAGCCCTGACGTTCAGTCTAGCTCTCTGTTGTTTGAGCTTCAAGCGATGTCCACGCAAGCGTTCAGAATCAGCCAGCTCAAATAAATCAGAGGGCACGATGGCACTGAAGCCCTTCATGATCTTAAATGTTTCTATCAGATCGCCTCTCAGTCTACGCCGTTCAAGGGAAAACAACCCCAGGCTCTTTAGGCGATCTTCATACGGCTTCCCCCGTTGACCTTCAACCATCCTGGTTGCTAGTCTTTGAATCTTCTCCAGGCAAAGAACATCATCACGGAGATAGGGCGACCAAGCTTGAACACAATACTCTAAGTGTGGCCTAACCACTGCTTTGTATAGTGGCAGGAACACTTCTGGCTTGGTATTACACAGAGCCCTCCTGAGGCGAAACAATTCTCGTCGCGCTTTGTTGGCGGCGTATCGACATTGTATCGAAGGCTTGAAGCTGCTCGTCATGATGACTCCTAAATCGCGTGCCTGGGTAGTGCATTGTAAGGGGAAGGGCCCAAAGGAAGTCTGAACTGCAAGTACGTCTCTACTAGTGGTCAGAATTTGGCACTTGCTTGCATTCAAGGGCAAGTCCCATTGCTTCGACCAGTTTGCCACACTGATGATATCCTTGGCCAAGGTGTTTAATAATTTTCCCGCTTCTAGCGTCAGCAGCCACAGTAGATGACTCTAGCGCATGCCAAAGTATCGTCAAGGTTCCCTATATGGACCTTTCAGCGTTCTTTAAGACTTTAAAACGCTTGCAGGTGGAAACGGCGACATTGTGTATTCGTCGTAGCCATATTACTGCGAAAGCTTACAAAAAGGAGACAAGGCAGATGCTACAAGTAGGATGCCGGTATCGATATATTCCGTTACTGTGCGTACATAGCAAGCCAACAAATGTTGCTGGAACTCCGTAACCGTTGTGTATCCGCTGGATAAGTTGTTAATAGTTACCTGTGTTACCATTGTCCTGCTTGGTTCTCAGTGGTCTTGGCTGGGAGTGTTGCGAGATTGGATACGCCTGTCCCGGTCAGTCGCACCCTTTTCTGCTAAGGTAGCCTTGGTTGTACGCCAAAATTCGGCGGCTAACTGCAAAACAGCGAATCGTGGTGCTGAACCTGATGAAGACGTTTCGTCGGACGCAGACGAGGCACGCATTTGTATCTTCACTATAACAATCGGTTAACGAGGCTCAATTCGTATGAAATATGGCAGCGTCATCTCAACGCTTGTGTCACGCAGGTGGTAGAGTTTACTCAGCCATTGCGATGATATGCTCAAGTGAAAGAAATGCCTGAGAGAAATGAGATCCGGTACTTCTTTCTCGTCCCTTCGAGCATGCTTGAATCGTTGAGCCAAAACGGAGAGGTGATTTTGGCGGACTGCACAAATCAGGTGAATTACGGTGGTTATATCCCGTAGCCTTGTATGTTTGTGGACGTCAACGACCTTGGTAGGAGCTTCTTTTAGGCGGTGTTGTCCAAGGAGACTCAGGCTGCCTACCAGGAGGTGGTGAAAATATGCTGGAGTTGGCCCTCGTGTCGGCCGCCCTCGAAAGCTGGTCATGGACATCTGCGCGGCGCGGGTGATTGCGTTTTGCAATGCGTATCCCACAGCCAACTTAGTGTTCTGCCAGGTACACATAATGCGTGACTTGCAGCGGCACTGTACGCACCTTCGCTTCTGGAACACAGAAGATGAAGGAGCTCTGTCCAACTTGATGCCTTCCTTGTTGTACACGCACGATTACGCGCAATATCATCAGCTTTTGGTGGGTAAATCTTGCGCAGCGCGGAATGCTTCCAGTACCGTCACAGTGGATCCCATGGCAGCTTATCTGCGCGGCGCGTTTGACGGGCCACGTTGTATTACTTGGGTCTGACAGGACTAATTGCTTTGAAAAGGAGTATAAGCATCTGAAAGAAACTTTAATTACGCGGTGCACTTTGCTGCGCCTGTTTCAGGTGACGGTGCAGTGGTGCAATGGCATTTTAGAGGAGTGGGATACCGCCCTTGGAAGAGGTAAGCTAGGTATACGCGAGGTTGCGCAGCGTGTAACCAGTAGGCAGTCGATTTTGAGGAAGGTGTCATCATATTCTCGGAGGCAGCACCTGCGGCACAATCCAAGTGTTGGCCTACGCTGTGTGAACGCGGACGCCAGGTATTGGCTAGTGGATGACAAGCGCCTGCGCATGCAGGTTATGGTCATAGAAGGTGGCAGCGCATGCTGACCTCGCCTTAATCTCTAGTGGTACATACCATTTGCGTACAATGTGCAGGTTGGCAGCCCGCATGTAAGATGAGGAGGTGGTTCTTCGTAGTCGCCGTTAGGTGCGGCCAACGGAAACGTTGGAATAGTGGACATGTCGGAGGACAAGGAGGGAAGCTTGACGGTGACGCGGATGCCATTCCGTTGCGATGGGTCATTGACCGCGCTGGCTAATTTCGCATCGCTTTTGATATATTTGGTGGGCTAAAGACGCATTTATTGAGTATGTGTATGTGGAGGTGCACCTGCACAAGGGGTGTTATGGCATGCGTTCGGGAGCCCGTAGCGAGTCATAGTAATTGGGAAGTGTTCGCCTGATCATCCCATGTCGAACAGTTTCAATGGTTGTCGTAGGAGGACCTACGCATATACCAACGAGTGGATGCGGCATCCTCCGATGCAGCTGTCCGAGTGGGGTCACGAAACATTTCTTCGTTTACAAGGTATGCATCGGAGACGGAGGGTAACCAAGGTATCCTGTTGTGGTAGGCAGGGATTGGTGTTTTGCAGTGGATTGACAACGACGGGTGTAACTAATGTAAACCACCTATTATACCCCGTGTGTTTGAGGTTGCGGCTACCAGCACGATGTCTCGGGTATGAAACTCCGTACCCTAAAAACCTGAACTTCAGCTCGCCACCGCACAAGTACGTTGCGTACATGGAGGACGACGGCTGTGGCAGAGGCGGACAGCGCAGTTTGCGCTGTGTGTCAGCAGGAAGACGATTCGCCAAGCTCCGAGCAAGTTCATTGAATAAGTTGCGGTTTATACGCGCGATGGTTCCATCCAAGTTGTGTGGCATTACAAAGTGAGTCTGCATAAACATGTATGCACTGCTGCGAACATGTTACATTTGGTATACATTACGTTTCGTGTCTTTAGAGTTTCAATTCACAGTAATTCAATTGTAACTTCGTGTAGTTCTCCCTTCCAATTTCCCATACAATTGGTACGTGTCAACATTGCCACTTGTATCACGGAACACTTGTTCGACTTTCAATGTGCGTATGCAATTTTTGTCTGCAATCCTTCCTGTCGCTGCGGTTTCCACCTAAAGTGAGGGGCACTGGCATAAAACGTACCAGGCTGTAATCCTTCCGGCGACATTTCATGTGTGCAACAAACAGTGTGTGCTATCTGGCCTGCTCACGAACACTTCAACGTGTTCCTTATCCGCACTCTCGGCCAGGCGTTCTGCTAGTGGATAACGTGCAGCCGAAAGTCAGTCAATGACGTCCACATTACCTACGGCGCTGGTGAACAGTGTCAACGTTCGCTTTGTTGCTCGAATGCTAAGGCACCTCGCATTATCCCGCCCATCAGTCCTACGTACTCCTTGTGGAGAAGTAACCGGGAGGAAACTGCGCCCACTGTCGGAGTGCAAAGGGATGTTCGTAGTGACACGCATCTGCAGGCCAAATCACCGACCCGTGCATGTTGACCGGCATGGTAATCCATTTCCTTGGTACAGTTAGAAAACCTGCAGTGAGGAACTATTTGCATTTCAATAACCTGTACAGCTTTTGATTCCCTATTTTCGCTACAAGGTGGGAAAAGCTTGTGGTACTGCCCAGTAGGCGTCGGCTTTCCTTGTCGTATGGCCACAGGGGATTGCTGTAGGAAGAGGTTTCCTTATGGTTAGCTGTCCTTTTAGCACTTCTGCTAGCCTAGGTGCTACGTTCACTATTGTTCCACGAATGATCATGGCTTCCTAGCGGAGGGTTAGAGGAGAGCTGGTGCCAAGGAACAGGTTTTGGACTGTGTACGTGGCCACGGATTTTTACTGCCGAAGTAGTGCTACCGCATTACCCTTGCTGCGGGTACATTGTATAAAGGTAGAAGATTTCCTTCATCATACGTGCGACAGTTCCTGCCGAACGTACCTAGCATAGGACGATTTGACATATGCGAAAGGAAGCTTCCTCCGCCTTCGGTTTTAGGAGACATAGTCGGGAACAGCCTATATCGCGTAACTTTCCGGGTAACGCCCCTTTTTCCACCTTGTCTTAACCCGTCACTATTTCCCTCGTTTATGAAGCAAGTGGCAGCTTTCCGGTAATACGTTTTGATATTTGGTGCACGTTCTTTGCGAGCGGCTTGTCGGATTCCCTGTTTAACCGCGCCAATGTATCTTCGGCTGCTTTCAGCAGCGAACCTAATGCTGTATGTGGCATGTTGATGAGCGCAAAGCACTGAAAGGACGCGTTTCATAAAATGCAGTATTATGTATGCAACTGCTGGCCAGCCGAATAACCTCCTCGT